TAAGATCGTGATTTACTAATTGTAATATATAATATAGATTATAGGAAATTAAAATATATATGTATCATCCATGCAATATTCTAGTATAATATATAAGTAAATCAATTGGATGAATTAAAAGTGCTGTTAATGAAAGAAAAATGTATAGCGATAAAATTTTGTAATATGTATTCTTGCTTTTTTAGCAACACATTTTGCGTTTCATCAAAGCAATTAACGAACTAAAGATCGAAAGAAGATATAGTATAGTTCGTCCGTATCAGAACTAGTTCTCCACGAACTACACACGCCTAGTGTTGTCTAATAACCGCGAAAATGCAATACAAGCTCGCGAATATACGGCTTGGTTTGTGGCCATATTCTACAACAAAAAGTAAGCAATTCTTAAGAGATTAAATTCATATGAATGGGGGAGTTTTTGTTGTTGTTCATTGTATGGTCGGATTAGTAATATCGAAGCGGATAATACACCTGACACGATCCCGTTTTATGCAGGTACTGCAGTTATTGTGTACAGACCTATTGGTGCTTCCAAAGTCGTTAATATATTTGCGTGGCCATTTTTAAATAGTAGACATCAATCAACGCCGCTTATTACTGAAATTTATAATCGTTTGGATATTCTTCTTCTTCTTCCTTCGAGTTAATGACGGCCTTAGTTGTCTAGCAGTCGTGGATTCGATTCTTTGCATGGTACAAATATTAATAATATATTTATATTTATGTCAGGAGTGTAATTGTTTGCTTTGGTCTGGGAGTTATCTATACATAGATGTATATATATAAATAAAATTGGAGTGTCTGTTTGTAATATTGAATTAACCGTTTTTTTACTACGTGCATATGAATATAAATACGGTGCATACACCAAAATAACATTTTTTACAATTTTTGTCTGTCTGTCTGTTTGTTTCGGCTAATCTCTGAAATGGTTGGACCGATTTTGACGGGACTTTTATTGGCAGGTAGCTGATGTAATAAGAAGAAACTTAACCTAACTTTTATTTTAGAAAAATAAAGTTAATTCCACGCGTACGAAGGCGCGGGTACAGCTAGTACTAATATAATGATACTTTAAGAGCTTCGGATTTAGGATAGGATTTAGAATTTTAGGATAAGCTTAATCCACTAGGTATATTTATAAAACAGCGATATATACATTTAGTAGATATGTGCAATCCAATATGAAGTGTATATACATAATCATCAAAAACATCATCGCAGCCCGGAAAACGTCCACTGCTGGACATAGGCCTCCCCCAAAGATCTCCTTAAACATAATGCTTGTATACAAATATTGTATATTCGATATAACTACATTATACCCCACCCCCAACTACAAACAGATATAAAACAACCCCTACTCGTCATCCGTGCAACTCGCTAATATTGACTTCGCAATTCAAAAATTAATATTTATTTAATAACTACACTTTAAACTCTAAAGAGTATTTATTTCTGTTTGTTTATGAAATGTTAATTACTTTTTTATTTACACTTATATATACAGAATAGAATAGAATAGAAAATTATTTATTTAAATAAACTTACATTGAAGCGCTTTTGAATAGTCATCACATTTTTTTTAATCTACCGCTCATTGGGAAAGCTGTCTCATCACAAGAAGAACGAGCAAGAAACTTGCGTGTTGCTCTTTTAAATAATTTTATTCTTAGTTTACATTTTTAAGTTTAAGTGTGTGAATACAAACTAAAAATTAGCACTAATTCAATTAAATACTCAAATAGAAAAAAATATTAAGTATACAACCAACTGGTTAAACAATTAATAAGGAAATCAATCATAGTGATTAGCAGCACATTGCGACTCTGAAGTGGTAATGGGCAGGCCACATAGCTCGTAGGACAGATGGACGTTGGGGCAGTCAAGTCCTCGAGTGGCGACCACGGACCGGAAGACGCAGCGTGGGAAGGCCTCCAGCAAGGTGGATCGACAATCTGGTCAAGATCGCTGGAAGGCATTGGATGCGAGCAGCGCAGGAGCGATCGTCGTGGAGATCTTTGGGGAAGGCCTATGTCCAGCAGTGGACGTCTTCCGGGCTGCTATGATGATGACGATTATGATTAGAGCAGACTAGTCCCTACAAGCAGCACTTCTTCACGAGTATGACGGATAAGTCAGCCATCACTGCGCTCGACCATATTTTAGAGAGCCCAATGACCCGGCCCACCACGCCACCACAAGTCTGGACATTTTAGTGAGCATTACTACTCAAGACACCACGTCATAGCTACTTACAATGCACATTGTTCTATTTCAACTATGAATATTGATTATACACATTGTAACGTAGCAAGTAAATAGTAAAGAAAAATTACATTACATCATTAAAGAAAATTTAGAACCAATTTAATTTTTCTTATGGTCCACGCTACTTTCTTATTTTATTCTTTCATAAGAACGTTTTCTTAACAATAACAAACGCAACAAAAAAAGAATTAGGAAAATCGGTGCAGCCGTTCACGCGTGTACCGTGACCGAGAGAAATAGGGATTATTTTTGTTTTGTTATATACCATAACATGCATTTATTATATATATATATATATAAACCTTCCTCTTGAATCACTCTATCTAATGCTGAAAACGCATTAAAATCCGTTTCGAAATTTAAAAGATATTAGCGAACAAACAGCGGCGTATGTATCTGTCAGTATATATATATATATATATATATATATATATCTGGTGGATGTCTGTACATGAAAGACATATGAGAAAAATTATTAATCGGAGATTTTTATCAACCTACTAGAACGCAATACAATGATTGTTGAAGTCATTATAAAGGCTTGTATGAGTAACACCCAGTTACATTTCCTAGGTGAACATTTAGTTTAAACTACTGGTTCTAGATTAATAAATGAGATAATTTTGAGTTAAAGTTATTAAGTACTAACTACTAGTGATGTATTATTTTTTGAGTGATTTTTATTATATTTGCAGCGTCAGTGAAACAACACGGTCGGTTGCTGTTTATTGAAAAAGAAATCAAATATCATCCACCGTCTTAATACTAATTATTAAACTACCCTACAATATTGACAGCTTATATTCTGTCTGTCTTACTGAGACTGTACTGTCTGTCGCTGCAGCTTTATTCTGAGTTGGTAGCCTACATTTAAATAATAATAATCTCAGGACAATTCACACAGCGCCATCTAGACCCAAGTTAAGCTAGCTAAAGCTTGTGTTATGTGTACTAGATAACTGATACAAATACATAGATTTTTTTTTTCGTAAATACATACATATTATACATAGAAAACACCCAGAGATACATAGAGATAGATACAAACTTTTATAACAAATAAATTTCATTTCATTTCATTTCAAACAATCATACTCATGAATACAAATGTTTGTGCAGTGCGAGGAATCGAACCCGCGACCATCGGTCGTAAAGCGGTGCACTAGACTGCTAGACCACCGAGGTCATCATAAAGCCATTTGTAAAATTTGTATTTCTGTATCTCATGTATGTTATGTGTGTGTAATAGAATAGAATAGAATAGAAAATCATTCAAATAAACTTAATTTAAGCACTTTTGAATAGCGATCAATTTGGTTTTTTTAATTCTACCGCTAATTCGAAAAGCTGTTTCATCACAAGAAACTTGTATGTTGATGGATAAAGCATTATTCTAACTGTCAAACTTTGTCGTACATATACTTCTATATATATATAGCTGTAATAGGATTTGCCATCAGCTGTAACAACAGATATCACCTCAATTAAGAATTCCAAACTATTTGTCGCCACATTCACTCACGTACCGCACACTGGCAACATAATTTCTGCATTTCTCACAAAACATTAATACCGCAAATTCAATTTTTTCACACAGAAATAAAGTTTAAAATACTGTGACTCCTAGTGAAAATATTTATAAATTTATTATTTGTAATATTTTTTGCTGGTGCCGCGTGATATTTTTATAAGTTACTAAATAAATGAAGGGTATTGATCGGCTGTCAGAGAGGCGGGCGCGTGTTTATTCAGTACGAGATTGAATACAACATTTCTGTATAATAAAGTGCGACAATCAGCTATTGTTGGACGGCGTACGCGACTGACAAATCAGTGACACGGTGGATAGCATGAGAAATCATTAATGAATGTTTATTTTGCGTCTTTTGTAGTTCTTAACGGAAGGTTTCATATAGGTCACTACCGTTAACATGTCTATGAATGACACAATTTAGCGTACGATCCGAGCAGCCAATATTTTTTCTTCTAATTTCTAAATTTGAGCGCGTTTGACGGCAATCCAAATTCAAAAATCATTTATTCATGTAGGACATTTTAGCCGCTTATAAATGTAATTTTTTCCGTACCGTCCATTTTAGTATACAGATTCAATTGAGAAGAACTAATGTTTCATGTGCAGTTCACGGCCCTATTCAAAAATGCTGAAGAGCAAAACTCACATGCGCCGAGGAATAAACAAGGCTGCAATGTCACATTTTGAATATAGTAGTTAGACAGTTTTAATTGTAATATTTATTTGAGTTAAAATTCGGCTAGTTTAAGTTAGAATGCGGCTACCGTAATTCACATCACTCTTGAGATTTTCGTTATTTTAATACATCATCATCATCATCATCATCATCATCATCCTTATCCCATTTATTTGTGGTCGGCGTAATATGTTTTTTTCTTGCATTCTTATCATATCATCTTTCACACAGTACATCCGTCTCTTTTTCGGCCTTCCTCTGCCCTTATAACGTTTTGTTATTATATAATTATCGTTTCGTAAACCAAACAGTTTATCTGCCCTAAAAATTATCCCGCGTTTGTTTCAATGACGTCTGTCTATCGAATTACGGCACTAAACAAGTTTGGATATATCTCAATGAAATTGTGGACTCATCGCTGGAAAAAGTCACTGTACCAAATGAAGAGCTAAACAAATAAGCGAGCAATCTTTATTTATAATAATTGTGTCCAACTGTATTGCAAGTCATCGTTCGCAGGAACAGAACACCTACGTGCATAGAGGTATTAACGAGCCGGACTCAATTGCAGCGCGCGATCATTTGATTTTCAACCCAATGCACTTGGTATTAGATTCAATTTTGAAAAAATATTTTATCTGTCAAAAGATATTGGCGCCAAAATTGACTTGTATTGTCAAGATGACAGCCCACTGGCTGGGTGGCCATACTTTTTATAGAAAAAGAACTTGAAACATTTCAAAATATAGGGTATTTTAAATACTTAATAAGTGACCTTTTGTAGGAAATCATAAATTCTAATTTTTAGTGTGTAAAAACTAATGCAACAGATGAGTATAATGGAGGACAATTGATTGATTTACAGAACAAAACGGTTGTTAGGAATATTCTAAATTCAAATTCAAAATATCTTTATTCATGTAGATCTATTACAGACTCTTATGATATGTCAAATCTACCGTCAGTTCGGATAGATTTCGAAATGAGAAGAATTGACATGAAATTCAGTTCGTATTGATTTCTTTGATTAAATAAAGTTCCAAAATCGTATAGTCGTACAGTCCACTACGGACCTTTGACATTATGTTAGGGATAGCGTTCAGTGGACAGAATTTAAATACGGATAGCGTATGTACGGTTACCCATCCCAATTTAATAATCGCGCCTAATTTGCTTAACATTCTACTTGTGTCGATTACAGCAACTAAACCACATCCACGGCTTTGAAAATCTCTACATATTAAGTAAATATTCAGTGAAAGAAAAGGAAAGTTGGATATTGTACACACTACAAGTATTTGAGTGGTTTCAGAAAAACAAACGCACGGTAGCGAAGTGGGTGTAAAATTCTTAAACACGCACCTATAGCAAAGACTCTTAACCGCATCCAAAATGTCTCATCGCGACGCTGACAACAGTCGCTTAGATGCAAAACAAACATGTGAATGGCGCTCTCGGCCGGAGAGTGCGTGCAAGGAAACACTGAGCATTATGCACAAGGAGATTGAAAAGAAAGTACTCGACACAAGGGCGTCCAAGCCTCGCCGGAGTGCAATAAGCGACGCCCGCCAACGGGCCCCGTTCATTAACTCTCGGCTACTCCATAAATAATCTAGAGGGCATCATTCCTGAACACGGCTGGACAAAAGCGCGCGTCGCCGCTGCCAACAGCGCCAACTGTCAGCGTTCCCATAGCGCGAACGAGTCCGTCTACACCTACAGAGTAAACAGAAAAAAATAACAAATAAGAGCCCCGATAAGCTCTCCAGCTCCGTCGCCGAGTGGCCACTACACCGTCCGTAGTAGCCGTGTAACGATTCTACATTGTTTTTATAACGGATCTCAAAACTTTGTATCGAGACGACATCAACAAAATGGCGGGTATTTATGCGCGAGTTAAGCATTTTCATAACGGAACGGCTCGAGAAACCATACCCGGGGTGGGGCACACATCCATTTCAAAGAATAAACACGGAGGAAACGCTCTCGATGTATAAATAATAAATAAAGAGTATATTTTGCTGCGTTCCGAGCGTGCGTAGACAAAGGCTGCCCGCTCTGTGGAGCAAACATCGCATATAGCATGTTTATTCTTTCGTCATTAAGGTGGAGTGTTGACTGTGCCGGAGCGCTAATTTCAGGGAGGTCAGGCGAGGAACGTCGCGGGAAGTTGTTGACTCGACTTGCCGTTTTGGATGGGGATTAATACAGTCTAGTCACGTTACACGACTTGTTTCATAAGTGCGCCTCTCTTTGCAATAACGACCTTTAGGTACATAGGTATTATTTGCTAAACGGTGTTTGAAGATTTTATGGCAACAATATTTTCTACGCCAGAGTTATCGGTTCAAGTAACGAGATTATAAAGACAACTAATAAACTTTATTTTAGAATATGTAAAATTTAACGATACATCTTTACAACTACTAACTATTAAGCAACCACTCGTACAAGACAAAGAAACAAATTCATTGTATATTTAGTTGGATATACGTACATAAATATGTATAATGATTAGTCCAATAGAGAAAGAGACGAACCTCTTAGCATTCTATGGATTCACCGTGCGGGTGCCGGGTCTATTGTGTGGCAGAGACAACTACAAGCAGTTCGTTAGTTCGCTCAGTTAGCGGGTTCCCTATTCTATTCTATTCTATTCTGTCAACTATCTGTTAGAGAACTACGTCGTTATAGAAGACTCTACATGCCATGTCTTTGATGGGTCCTTTAGGGTTTTTGAGTTGAGGTCCAAGTCACTACTCGTGATTTTAATTTACATGACTTTCCTATACATATTATTACTTAATTAATATTTTACTATACATTACTTGGGTCTCTATCTAGTACCATGGATATGACAAAATAAGAGATACCGCATGTACGGTGATGATCACTTACTACGTGGATTTAAACGAGATAATGACGGTAGTTTTGACATATCATAAGAGTCTGTAATAGACCTACGTGAATAAAGATATTTTGAAATTGAATTTAAATTTGAATGTTTTTTTATTGATAAATACTGTATACTATCTACATATCATTAGATTTAAAACAACTTTAGGGGGTTCTGTATAGATTGAGGATCGTATAGTTATTGCAGGCTTGCGACCAATAACCTCATCACTTCTATAGATGATGATGGACTTGATACTAGGATGTCGATGTTTTGGTGTACTCAACAAATCATATCAAAATATCTTTATTCATGTAGGTCTATTACAGACTCTTATGATATGTCAAATCTACCGTCAGTTCGGAATGATTTTGAGATGAGAAGTTTCTTTTCCTACATTTCGCTCGGTATATTTGAGTAAAAGGCAGCGCGAAAGAACGCATACTGTAAAAAACCGTAACAAAATTAAAACGAACTGAACTACTTGCCGAAATTTTCTCACGAGACTACAGCGTGGGGTTTTTCAAGAAAGGTATATTAAGGTTTCTTAAGAGTCGATAACGCGCACGTGACCCCCCTGTTGTTTCAGGCGGCCATAGGCTACAATAACCATTTACTATCAGTTGGGCCATATGTTTGTTTGCCACCATAGCAGAATAAAAAGATATATATTTTTAATGGAGCCATAGGCTACGGTAACCATTTACCATCCGATGGGCCGTATGCTTGTTTGCCACCATAGTAGTATAAAAAAATGTGTTTTTTAATGGAGTTATTTTTTGTCGCAGGTTAAAATATGGTTTCAAAATCACCGCTACAAATGCAAACGACAAGCCAAGGAAAAGGCGATGGCGGAACAGAACCAACACAATCAGGTACACATTTTTTTATATACTTACTCTACATAATGGTTTTAGGGTACTTTTCAAATTAAAAAAAAATCTTTATTCATGTAGGTATATTACATACTCGTATGATGTCAAATCTACCGTCAGTTCGGAATGATTTCGAGATGAGAAGAACTGACAGGAAACTCGGCTCGTATTCTTTTCAAATAAATGTTGTACACGTTTACAATAATACACAGTCATTTAAATTCAAATTTGGGACTACTGGTCTATTCAAGTCATATCTACTGAATAATTGTATCGATTTAATGAAAATTAATAATAATACTAAACCTGGACAATTCACACAGCGCCATCTAGTGTCAAGCTAAGCAGAGCTTGTATTATGGGTACTAGACAACTGATGTAAATACTTTTTTATAAATGCATAAAACACCCAGACCATATCAAAGATCATACTCATGAATTTTCCCTCCGATCGATCCCCCGCCCAATTCAAACGGGAATCGATATTACGACGGCCTGAGCCGAGGTTCGAACCCCTAGCGGTGCCCTGAGACTAAAGTCGTATCTGTCAGGCAGAAGTTGGCCTTCAGCCGCTCCATAAGTTTGGAGTGCCTTCTGCACTCGCCCCCTATCGTCCGGTGAAGCTGAAACGGCTGCGGCCAACAGCATTAGAGTAGTCCGAAAAAAAATACTCATGAATACATGAGTTATATATATAAACCTTTCTCTTGAATAACTCTAACTATTAAAAAAAACCGCATCAAAATCCGTTGCGTAGTTTTAAAGATTTAAGCGTACATAGGGACGGACAGACAGCGACCGCGACTTTGTTTTATACTATGTAATGATATAATCTATGTGTTATTTTGATGTATAATCTATGTTACTGTAAAGTTTCATGAAAATCCGTCCATCCATCCATACTCACTAACTTTCGTTCTTACACGTTTATAGTATTAAATAAGAATTTAATAATAGCAAACCATATGAATATTTAAAGTTTTATAAATAATTCTTGTTGGAAATACGATATAAATCACCAACTCTGTATTCCCCTCATTTGCTGACCTGCAGGATCGGAGCTAAGGGTCTCCCGTTGAGTACAACGGGTATACGGGTCCCACATTCACTAGTGGGGTCTGAAATCTCGACTGCCATTAGAATTTTGACGGCCTCGGTGGTCTAGCGGTTTAGCACGCCGGTTTACTTCCGATGGTCGCAGGTTCGATTCCTCGCACGGCGCAAACACTTGTATTCATGAGTATAATTGTTTGTATCGGTCTGGGTGTTTTATATACTTGTAATAGCTAAGAAAGTTCTGTTATGAAGTTTAGTTTAATAATAATAATAATCTCAGGACAATTCACACAGCGCCATCCCAAAGTTAAACTAGCTAAAGCTTGTGTTATGTGTACTAGATAACTGATACAAGTACATAGACATTTTTTTTCCGTAAATACATACATATTGTACATAGAAAACAGATCGATGCAAACAATCATACTCATTAACACAAATGTTTACACCGTGCGAGGAATCGAACCCGCGACCATCGGAAGTAAGGCCGTGTGCTAAACCACTAGACCACCGACGCCGTCATTTAGTTAACAAATTCAAGTACTACAATTATCTACTTCCCAAAAACTTGCAAAGTAATGCTTTATATCGTAATTATAGTAGAATGGATGTGGGGTAAGCAGGTACGGGGTGGCAACCCTAATGAGGCGCGTGTTGCCAGCCTATGATTGCCTCAATTTGCACGAAAGCGTGGGGGAAACGACTTCTGATTGTTAGCGGTGGGCGTCTGACTTTATTGTTTACGAATCTAATGTAATTTGTATTGTATTCTGAATTTGTGCAAATAATAATAAAAATTTAATGGAGAAATGAAACGCAGACGAAGTTACGCGGGTCATCCAGTAATTTATGTAGCCCTTTCAGACCTGAATATATTTTTTCATCCGATGGATTTGGTAAATTTCATGTGTAAAGTATTATAAGGAAACTATTTTTTTTTTCTAAACAAATTAGTAGTACCACAGATAACATAATATTACTACTAAATTGAGTAGTTTATAAGTGAACAAATGAATACAATCGGAAATAATAAAATCATTTTAAATTATATCTTATGCCTACAATTGTGTACGCCAGTTTTGAAAGGGGTAGGGAAGGAGTGCAGAATGCAATTTTTTTTAATTATGCACAATAAATACATTAAAAAATAAAACATTACATACACTACACTATATATTTGACACATACGTGCTGATTCAAAAATCTTTTTGTATTTTTTATTATATTTTTTGTATTTGACGACCTCGGTGGTCTAGCGGTCAAGCACTCCGCTTTACGACCGATGGTCGCGGGTTCGATTCCTCGCACGGCACAAACTGAGACCTTTGTGGTGAAATGTTAAATCACTACAACACCAAGGTTGTATTAACATTATAATTTGTCCACAGTCGTCATCATCGCCCAGGCGAGTAGCAGTCCCCGTCCTGGTGAAGGACGGGAAACCATGTGGATCTGGGGAGTCTTCATCACCAGCCCACAGTCACTGCGCCACCCCCACGTCGGGGTACTCAGCGCCACAACCCTCTCAAGCCGCCTGCAGTAACCCCCTAGTGTCTTCGTACCGGCAGCCTACGGCGTACCAGCAGCAGTGCTCAGGGTATCTTCCACTGCAGGGTAGGGCCTGGTAGAAGTTCCCACAGCTTTATCACGAGACAATGTTCAAGGAGGAAATGTATTTTGATTAATTAAACGCGAAATAATTTATATATGGCAACATTGATTTTATGTTGTCATGTAGATAATTAATTTTCAATTAATTAAATCAGGGACACATCTAAATATGGTAACATTGAATTTGTGTTGCCATGTAGATAATTAATTTTCAGTACTGGTAGTTAATCTTTGTGGTAGAAACCACAAAAATAACTACCATAATACATTAGAATTGAAAAATATAGACATTTGAGTTAAAAATTAACAAAAACCATTTTATTAATCAAAATTTAATAGTTTTGTCTTGTATATTCATTATAATTTAACAGTTTCATGTATATTCAGAATCCCGATTGAATATTATTAATAAAATATTGATAAGTTTCTGAAAAAATATACTACCTTTCCAGAGGTAACATATTCTTTATTTTTAGCATTATCTACAAAACTGTATACAATAATTTTTCAAATCATTTAAGTGTTTACATCTTTAATTTATTAATAACTATTTCTACTACAAAAGTACAAAAGTAGTTTCTACTAAAATTTTTACTACGATTTTTATTTAATTGTTTACAGCATTAATTTAATAAAAACTATTTGTACTACAAAAATACTAGGTAGTTTCTACTGCAATTTATTATTACGATTTTAAGAACTGCATTAAGTTTTTAATTATGATTAATAAAAATAAATTTATTCAAATTAAAAATGACAATTTAAGTTAACATTACATAAATTCCATTTTTAATAATAATGTTTTGTACTTTTTTTTTAATTATACAAAATGATCTTCTTCATGAAAATTGTCCGTGGTGAGGCGATCTGGGCGCTGCAGCTGACCAGAGACAAACAGTGCTAGTGTAATTATGGTATCGAGTGATATATTGCTGATATATTGGACAGTGAATTTATCGGACAGAGGGTACCTTGTAAATATTTGATTACTATACGTAAGAGTGACTAAGGATTTGACTTGCATATTGTGTGTGATAGTTCTGTTTACCGACTCTAGAAATGTCCGGAAAATATGATTAAAATATATGCTTGATATAGGACTAGCTATATCCGCGACTTCGCCCGCGTTTAATAGGGGCTTTGGGCAGTATTTTTGATTATTTAGACTAAATTATTTATGTATTATATAATACTTAGATATCGATTTTAATAATAATAATAATAATATCGATTATGATTTGAAAAGTTTTTAAATATTAGTTAAAAATGATTATATTTAAAATTTTATGTTTAATATACACTATTTATATTGTTAACAGGGTCTTAAACACGAATAATTTAATGGTAAATAAAGGTATTTATTTCTCTGGACGTTTAATTAAACTATTGTTGTTGACGTTGAAGGTTGTGACTGCCGGCTCGTGACCACGGCTAGATGACACCGTGAAGGGTAAATACCTTTATTTACCATAAAATTATTCGTGTTTAGACCCGATTAACAATACAATAATGTTCAACAAAGTTTAGCATACAATGATCTATTCTCAAACTTGATATTTGACATACCGAAGCTCAAATATTTATAATATTTACACTAATTTCAAATAAAGCTCACTTCATTTTACTATATATACAAAAAAAAATATATTTAATCATATTTTCTGGACAGGTATAAACTTTTTGCAAAATTCAAAGTGCCAAATTGTAATTCGCATTCAACAACGCAATAATTCGACTAAATCAATAAATTTCATTTCAATATTTCATTGTAAATAAACGCTGGCGTAGATAATTGTTGTGTGAATAGTACAATTTATGGTAAAAATTAGTGTTTTGTGTGTGTAGATAGATTTTAATTGTAAATAAACCATTTTAATCTAGAGCAAACGTTAACGGAATGAATAATATGTTCTAGCGCCATTTTGTGCATCTATTTTTCAACGGATGTGATATGTATTTTTTACTTTAATCATTTATTAATAAAGACTATAATTGAATAGCAGAGAGGGTGGACTTACTACCCCCTTTGAGTTGTAGACCGTTCTGTCTCGATTAATACCTTTTTATATTAAACACTTATTTTTTAACTTTAATACACATTATTAATATAGTTAAAATCAGTATATAAGTATTGTGTGTCGCGATATTTCGTCGGACTATTGAGGGTAGTTGAACAAACTGCCGGCACCTATCAACATAGACAGTCGATGTTACTCCAGTCGGCTCGTGACCACGGCTAGTGCAACATTGTCGAAACGTCGGCAGAGGTAAATACCGTAAAATCCTTTATTTACCATAAAATTATTCGTCTTAAAACCCGTTTAACTATATTAATAATGAATAGATTTAACTGTTCATTATTGGAGATGAATAAAGATGATTATTATTTATATACATATATATTATATATCTCCCTCTTTATGGATGTAATACTTTCATATACGCGGGCCTTAGCCAAGCGTGGATGAGTTTATGTTTCTTTTACAATGCTGTGTTAAGAATGACGACTTTTTCTAACAGTTCTACAGTAGAGGAGGGGATTTGCAACTATTATTATTATTAGACGTCGAATTATAAAAGTCCATTTAGCTGTTTATTCTGATTAACATATTCAAATTTGTCTCTTAACATATTTGGAGTTTATTTCATAGAGCAGATACTAATAATTTTATTATCCCGTATAAATAATATTTTATTATTCAACTTTATTAAGCAAAGTCGCTGTTTTGCCCGTTTTTTTTGTCCCCTTATTTCTATTAAACCACATAAGGGATTCTAATATAGTTTTCGCTATAATTTAGAGAATTTCTTCTAGAAGGTTTATTTATATGTATAAATATATGTATGCATGTATGTATGTACAACCGTCACCGCATACATATGTATACGCATGTAAAGCCGAGTAGCTACTACTTACTAAAACTGTACATTGGGTCTAGTGTACAGCTTAATACTAACTATTGGTGATCAAATTCCGACCGTTATTGGCTCTGCACCCATATTGCTCTGAACAACAGGAACGAAAATACAAATTTACAGCACAAATTTGAATATATGCAACTCTATGTAGAGACAATTATGGTCTATTTTCCCTGCTATATTGCAGATCTTCCCACAATTCAATAATTGTCACTTACGTTTATTTTATATTCAAGTATCTTCACATTGCTCAAAATATAAATAGTACACTTGTAGCGTTCATACGTTCTCATTTCCCAGTCCGAATAAGAGTGAGTAATTCTCGAAGCAATTTGCAATTATTGTAAAAAAAAATAGATATGCACTTTGTTTATTTTACTATTTTACTTAATTTCGTAATTAATTATATTTACAAGTACATATCGATGAAAGAAAGCAGAATTGGTGTAACTTGCAAAATCCAACTTTACTCCAGAGCTAAAAAAAATGTTTAAAAAAATTCATAGCTCATATATTTATCGAGATAGAACGTTCATAATTTGTTTATATTTAACAAATTTTATCTCGATAAACTTTAAATACTTTTATAAAATAATGTATTTAAATTTTCAATTCTATAAGATATTTCGGTTTAGATGGGTTTTTCAAGTATTATCAGTTCTGCTATCTTCGTCGATATCTTTAAAATCTTGAGGATATTCCAGTACATTCCAGAACGTCATTGTTCCATATGAAACTGTTTCCTTTCAGTATGCGTGGTGTACGCATATAATTAATAAAAAAAAAATGGAATAATACAATTACACTATGTTGATTTATTATTTGATTCGCTAGTAAACAATCTCGATATATCTTTTTATTGTTGTAACAGCGCATAAAAATAAAAAACAACAATAAAATGACTATTGGAATCATCATTACTTATTATTGCATTTTTTTATTAGTCTCATATTCAAATTAATAATAAAGAGACAAATTAAATAAATGTCCAACTTTATATTGACAAAAAGAATTATTTGTAAAAAAATTGTACAAAAAGTGGATAATACAATTGGCGAAATTAATAACAAAATCTTATAGAAATACGAGCTTCAATTATTATATTCTATAAGTCCATTAACACTGTACTTAATATTTTTTTATTTGTCTGCAGTTACAGGTACCGGGATTCATGACTCGGTTGTAAATAGTAAAGTAGCGTGTAAGGTTAATTTAAAAACCACACTAGCAACACCTAAAAAAATGACGGGTGTTATGACGGTTAAAAAACAATGAATAATAGCAATAAGACACTTTAATTATATTTTAGATTAATATAACAAATTGAAGAAATATGTAATTCATGTTTTTCTAAACATAATTTCTATGTTTTGAGATTAGGTCGATGTAATTACTATAGGTACGCTTAGGGGATGTTATTATGGATTATAATTATAAATAATAGTAATAATATGAAAGGAATTTGTAATTATAATGAAAAGTGGGGTGTAATGAATTTCGATTTATAAAATTAATAAAAATTAATGAGTTTTACTGGCTTGTTTCAATGTTTAAAATCCAAAACCCGATACCTACAAATTCTATAAGTGCCACTTGAAATTTCCCAATAAATCTGATTGTTTTCTGAGATACACTTTATAATTAAAATATTAGACATCAATATTAAGGTCGATTGGTAATTAATTCATTTATTTCACTTGACTGTTGAGTAACTGTAGAAATAAATTTATAATTTGACTCAGGTTATGGAAAAGAAACTGTTGATAACGATAACGTGATTTTCGTAGTGCTGTTCACATACGACGTCGGGTACCGTTTAACACCGGGTGGTATAATATTGTTGCCATTCGAAATAAAAAAAATATATGTGTAGCATTCTATCTACACATTTTTTAAACCAGCTACTCCGATGGAGTATATATATATATATACATACATAGAACAAATAAGAGGCAAGACTACATTTGTAATTTCATTAATATATCTCCCTCACCCGTAACACAGCTTATAAAGCAATTTGCTTCACAGCTAAAATAATTAAGACTGAGCAATCCACGCAAATAAACTTTTTTCCTCAGTGGTCTCACTAGTCTTCATTAACATTATATTATTATGACAATAATATGATTAAAATCCTGATACCTTTTTAGTTGAATCAGTCAAATTATATATTTTTAAATAAATACATGAAATCTATAATTCATACACATTATATCAACTGTTGCAGCATCAGCATGTTACATCTCCTCTCAATGCAATTGTAGTTACAAATCTAGATAGTTCATAGTCATTAGTGACAGTTCTTTGATATTTGTGATTTTGTATGATGTGTTTGCTCATTTAATTATACGTGCTTCGTTAAAAACGTCATTAAAATTAGCAACATGTCAAAAAAAGAAAGACTAAAAGTCACTTCAGAAGGAATATAATTCAATATATTGAAATTAGAATATTTCATTACTCTATGTGTGTTGACTCATTTAAAATTAATAATATTTTTGAATGATCGAGTTATAA